GCAATGAGATGGCTTGTGGACGGGCCACGCGCGCTCGAAGACAGCCCAAGACTGCTCCTAGACGGCCACAAAGGCATTCAAGACGGTCCAAGAGGCCGCCGAGAAGGCCCTTCAAGAGCAAAAGCCAATCATTTCCTGTCTGGGAAAACAGATATTTCTTGGATGTTAGATTTTCAGTCCTACCAGCGGCCGCGACGGCCCCAGAGGCTCCCAAAATGAGCCCCAGACTGCGAAAGAGGCCCCTAAGAGGGCCCCCAGACGGCCTGAAGAGAGCTTCAAGCAGCACAAGAGAGCCCCAACACGGCCCAAGAGAGTACCCAGGAACCCCGAGGGGGCCACCCGAGGGCCCCAAGACGGGTTCCCCATGACGGGTGAAGAGGGACCCGGAACGGCCGAACTGGGCTCCCAGAGAGTCCCAAAAAGGCCTACCAGGATTTCTTGAAGACGGTCCAGGAGGCCGCTGAGAAGGCTCCCAGGTGCAAAAACCGAGGATTTCCAATGGAAAAACGCACATTTCTATGATATTCCCTTCTTATGTTCCATCGGCGGCCACGTCGGCCCGAAAGGCTCCCCAAATCGGCGCCACACGGTCCACGAGGCCCCCAAGAGGGCTCCAAGACAGCATCAAGAGAGCGTCGAGCAGCACAAGAGAGCTCCAAAACAGCCCGAGAGAGTCCCCAAGGGGCCCAAGGGAGCCACCGGAGGATCCCTACATGGCTCCATGAGGGTCCCAAGACGGCTCAGATACCCATGACATGCCAAGAAGGGCTTGGGACAGCCGAAATGGGTTCCCAGACGGGCCACAAAAGGCCCGAAACGACCCCCACGGCTGTCCAGGAGGCCGCTGAGAAGGCCCTTCAAAGGCAAATATCAAGCATGTCCGATCGAAAAAACCTTATATTTCTGGGAGCTTCGCTTTTCAGTTCTACCAGCGGTCGCGACGGCCCAAGAGATTCCCAAAATGGACCTCACACGGCCCCAGAGGCCCCAGATGGGTTCCAAGATGGGCTGAAGAGAGCTGCAAGCGGCACAGAAGAGCTACAAGACGACCCAAGCGAGCTCCCAGGAAGCCAGAGGGGGCCACCAGAGGATTCCTACAGAGTCAGAGAGGGCCCCAAGACGGGCGGAGGTCCCCACGACGAGCCAAGAGGGACCCGGAACGGCCAAAATGGGCCCTCATCGGGAGCCTCGTGACGGGGGTCAATGCAAACGGGGGTCAACCAGAGCGCCAGGTCCTGCGAAGACCCCCTCTGGCTGACCCGGGTCATCGAGCCGCTCGTGGCCCCTGACCAAGGTGCAGGTGGCCAGAGCCAGCGGAAGGCGATGAGGAGCTGAGGACTCGTTCGCAGCGACGTGCGAGGAGGAGGAGGGGGGACATAGTTCTTGTAAGATTATCTTGTTATATGATTCTCTGGCTCGGGGAGGGATGATGAGGACGAGGAGGGAAGGGGAGCGCAGGATGAAGAGGGCTCGAGAAGAGGAAAGAGGTGAAGCAGGTGAAGGAACGCAAGGAGAGACATTTTGAAGAGCGGGGAAGACAGGGAGGAGGAGGAAAGAAGAGGTGGAGGAGGAGGTGAAGGAACAGGGATCCTTTTCAGGAGAACGCCGACGAGGAAAATGATGAATATTAGATGATGAGAAGAGGGAGAACGGGAAGAGGAGGAGGGTGAGGGGATTGCAGTGGACCGGGGATGATGACGGCGATGATGCTGATGATGATGACAATGACTATGCCCACGACGACGCCGACGACGACAAACAACGTGCTGATGATGCGGATGATGACGCCTGAGAAGTACGATGACGATGATGGCGATGGTGGTCACGATGCTGGTGATAATGGTGATCATGATGATTGTTGTGATGGTGATGGTGAATGTGACCATGACTATGACGATGACGATGAAGATGACGGGGATGAGGATGACAATGATGACGAGGATCATGACCCTAGCTAGAACTTGAGCGCGCGCGAAGCGCGCGCGATGGCTCTAATGCATGTATGTATGTATATATATATATATATATATATATATATATATATATATATATCGGTTTCTATGTATTTGTGTATTTATGTGTATACATATGTATGGATGGATCGACTTGTGTATGTTATCCGTATGTGTTTCTCTCGCTCTATCTCTCTCTCTCTTTGTCTGCTCGGTTTGTTCTTCCTCTTGCGGGAAACTCGTCACACAGATGGAGTTGCGGTTCTGGGGAGGGGGCGTTCTCCCGCAGGGCCCGTCACGGGCCGCCGTGCGCGCGGGAACTGGCCATGTACAAAGATTAAACATCTTACCAGAGATTATAGCTCGCCTTTGGCCCATTGGGCTAGCGACTTGTGGAACCTTGGGCGCACTCAGAGCTCGAAAGATCGCGTCGGCTGTCCAGCGAAGAGGCGGAACGACGGTCCCGTTGAAGTTTGTGTCCACATTGAATATCGAGTTGGAAACAGCGATAACTGACGAAACTGCAATCGTGTGGTTTTTTTTCAATG